AAAAATGTGGAAGCTGAAAAAACATCCAGGCGAGATGAGGAAGGGGGGTCGTAGTAGTGGAGGAAATTTGAGAGAGAAGGTTGATTTTGCGAGTATTTTTCCCTGCAGTACGTGCCCTGAATCTAGGTGCTCATCGCTGTAGGTGAAGATTATGGTCCATCACAACCATCGTTATTGAAAGCTCTTCGTCAATCCAACGGAAGCTCGAGTGGAGAATTCCTCAGAGCGCGTTCAGACTTCGCGATCGCGCGATCCAGTTCGCGCGAATTGGATCGCGCGATCGCCGAGGTCTGCGCGCTCTCGGTTTGCAGCGTGAAAGTCATACAGGAGAGCGTACGCGAACTTCCACGTTGATCCGAGGACATTTTTTTTAGAAAATGCTGGGTAGAATGGAAAGTGAATCATAAAAATGAATAGACGTGTTGGGCAAAATGAGCAGTAAAAAACTTCCTCAAAATATAACGTCTCAAGGTGTCAAGACCGTAAAAGAAGCCATTCAAAAAACGGTGAGTCATTGAGCATGTTGCTTTCCTTCTTGCCTATGGGTATTCTATAGGTATAACCAAAAAAATGAATGAAAGGCACTAGACAAAAATAATATAGACCTCGAATAAGCTCCACAAACTGTTCAATATCACGTTCCAGTCCGACATTAGGCAAATCGGGCATCATGTGGATAACAACTTTATATCCGGTATCCTTAGACATGTGGAACGTTTCACAGACGGCTTTAACCTGAATAGCGGAGTAATCATGCATCAGAAGGCGTTTCAATCACGTTGGAAGTTGAGACTCAAAGCAAGTAATAGAAATGAAAGACGGAGAAGTGGGAAATAAATTACTTGGCTTTTAAGGTAATTATGTCATAAGATTTCAATTCTTTCCTTCCTGCGCGGTCCTAGATTTAGATGGCAGTTCATGCTGAATGTGTCTCAAAAACACGTCAAAATAACTTTTTTTTCCTCAAATTCGCATCTGGATTTTCAGACTGTTAACAAACATTCAGACAAAATAGAGCGGCATCATAATAATGGTTGTTGCAGTAGTACTTGAAAAAAAAGAAAATAGGTCACCTTCCCCCTCCCCTCCTCCCACCGCAACCCACTTACTGTTGTCTTATGGTTTCCCAATGTTTCACAGGTTATATCCGCTCACAGACCCATACGAATCCAAGAAACAAAAATCTGAAGAACATAGTTCATGAAGTGTGGTTGATCCACAAACTACCTCTAGCTGCCCTCAACTCCGATAAGGTTGAGTTCATACGTTGTGCCATAGTACGGTAGCTTCCGAGCGTACGCCAGTGACAGGAAAAGTATGAAAATCAATCGAGCGAACAGCAGCGTTCTCGCGGGAGATTCTCGCAGCAAGCTTGAACAAAACTGCTCGCGAAAACGCTGCTGTACGCTGAATAGGTACCTTTCTAGTTGCTGGCGATAGCGTACGCACAGAAAGCTGCCGTACGCTGACGCAACCTATTGAAGGAGTTCTCAGTTATTTTCTGACGATTCAGAATTACACATGAAAAATGGACTTTACATTCATGATATCCTACAACATGTCGGGGAATCGTTTTGAAAAAGCGATCTATGACTCGAACACGGTTTTTCTGATGGTAAAGGTAACTCTACTAAATGAAACTAATAACAATAAATTCACCGTATGTCCTCGATTAGTGTCTCTAGCTACATCTTCGTAAGTGGACTGGACTCCAATCTCAAGCCGAGTACATCCATAAAGGAGCATGTCATTAAGATGTCTCGGGAGGCAATAGTCAGGACGAGTTTCAATCGTGATGCCGATGCATTTGATTTTGCTTCGCTCCGAATACGCAACTGCCTGCAATAAACATTCATTCTCTTCGCTAACTTCAAATAAAAACAACTTTCATTCCGAGAAAAGTCATTAATTTTTTCCATATGATGGAAGAGACTGTATCGGACCTGCGCAATTTAGTACGAAAATGCTTCTGTGACACGCTTCACAGCCCACACAAAAGCAGCTCGGAGCTGGCCAAATCGTTTGCGAGAGCGAACTTCAACCAATTTTTCACTTTTCAATGACATTCGCCAAAATAATCCAGGTGATAGAGCAATGACACAAGTTTTGCACCCCAGAATAATTCAGAGGCTTTCAAGTATTAGGTCGTTGCAAAAGAAATGCAGGATTTTGTTTTTTTGTATTTAATACTTATTTTATTCCAATAAAATGTGAAGTGTTATATATTATTCGAAAGCTTATCTAATGCTCTTTCTAAATGATACTTCAAGATTGGTTGTAATTCTTTTTATTATCATTTTTATTGACGTTTTATTGCAGATGTCAAAACGTGAATTTCGCACTATTTTTTTCTATGAGTTCAAGCTAGGCCGAAACGCTGCGAGACAGCTCGAAACATTAACGAAGTTTGGGGTCAAGGAAGTGTCAACGAATGTACGGTCCAACGTTGGTTCCAGAAGTTTCGTTCTGGCAACACCAGCCTTGAAGATGAACCTCATGTTTGGTGGTCTGCCGCCGGTCTCATCCATCACAGCTTCCTGAATCCTGGTGAAACAATTACGGCAGGAGACATGTACTTGTCAAACAAATCGACGGAATGCATCAGAAGCTTCAACGGATGTGCCCAAGGTTGGTCAATATGAAAGGGACCTATTCTTCTCCACGACAATGCCCGACCACAGTCGCACAAGCGACCTTCAGAGTTTATAAACGAATTGGCTATGAAACTCTGCCTTCATTTACCATACTCACCAGACCTGTCGCCCACCGATTACCACTTTTTCAAGCATCTGGACAACTATCTTAAAGAGAAATGCTTCAAAAACCAAGACGATGTCAAAAACGCCTTCAACGATTTTGTGGCCTCTAAAAAGAATTACAACCAATCTTGAAGTATCATTTAGAAAGAGCATTAGATAAGCTTTCGAATGATATATAACACTTACATTTTATTGGAATAAAATAAGTATTAAATACAAAAAAACAAAATCCTGCATTTCTTTTGCAACGACCTAATATCTGAAACGCACACCGATCCCGAGCAAGACTGAATATATGGTGCACAGCGGGACTACCGTAACAACAAAATACAACAGGGTAGCGTGCATGCGCTGCTCCATATTTCCTATATATTTCTGTGCACTTTTTTAAATGTTCCGGGAAGTATGTTACTTCTCAAAGTATTGTTTCCCTATATCTCTCTCCCAGTCGTATTCTTTTAGATTCTTAACCTGCGAGTCACCCATTTTCGGTGAACATCTTCTGTTCGCGATCGCTCGACTGGATCAAGAGACCCGGTCGCGCGATCGCGAAGTCTGAACGCGCCCCACTGCGTATTCATGTCAGCGTTTTGAGCGTGCGGCAGCATTCTGAGCAACTAGGAAAGTATGGATATCGATTCAATGTCTGAGCTGTTTTCCGGTATTTTTGAACTTTTCGCGGGCAGTCGCTGCAAACGCCGCGTACGTTCAAAACGCCAACTTCAAAGCTATACTTCCCTCGCCTCAGAAAACGTAGCCATGCTTGCATTAGATCATCACACGAGATCGATACCGTCCTAGTCGTTCGAAACGCTACCATACCCTCAAATCAAAGCGCTGACGCACAGTATGAAGGCACTCTAAGTTATACGTGATATCCACCCAAAATTCTGATGTTAAGGAGCGGTTTCCAATATGCATCGTGGCAGAAAACTCCGAATAAATATGATTGTCACAAATTTCATATTTCGTGTTCAAAACATTTTTTCCGATTTTCTCTTGAGTACAGAAAACGAGCTAATGAGTCAGCCAAACATTCTTTACCAACGGCAAAGCAACCATTAGGGACGGAAAAAGTATTTTTCTAGGGTCTTCCACTTTACCACAAACAGTCAAGAATGCACATAGCAATCAGCGAACTTGTTAGATGAGCTGAAATCGAACAGAACTGTTACCTTGGAGAAGAATACCGTTTTACAGATGCAGAGTCTAGCTGAATTTCAATTGTAACTCCTTAATGAAATGTACACACAGCTCACCTCTTTCACATTACAAGAAATGTGACCACTGAGGGCATCATGCAAATTTCTGATGAAATAATCGCGATAATCCTCTGGCAACGACATGAAGGTTCCACCCATTACAATGAATTCGACCTGTAACAATCCCTCAGTTCCCTTTGTTTCGCTTCCAGTAGCTGAAGTAAAAAAAAGACAAGCTCCGAGGATTGAACTGCACAGATAGTAAGCTATTACTTCATCCAAAGAAAGTTCGGATTCGAAAATGCTCAACAAAGAGAAATTTCCACACCTTATCAATTGAGTGGCCAAGCTGCATTAGCTGAGAGACCCTTCCTCTTGTCTGAAGGTAGGGATCATATCTGAAAGGGAAAAGTCCAAAGTAATAAGCTAAAGAGTATCCCATGTAATGATTGATGAACAATACGAAATACTACCTTGCTCTTATAGCAACGCATAAATTGTTGGTTGTCGTTAACAGTGTTAGCTCTGCGTGGAGTACTCGAAATCGGAGTCTGGACCTCCAGGACAATATACACAGACATTTCCCGTGAAATTGATGTGTGGACAACGATGAGGTTTCGACATCACTGCCACTACAGCGATACCAGAAGCTGTTCGGATAGGCTTAGCTTTCAACTTTCGGCAACAACACATCCTGAAACATACTACATTTTTCTGATAACTCATTTTATTGTGCGCACAAAATCATAGAAAAACTTGTCACTCGGAGCCTGAGATCCAGTGCGCCTTCCTAAAGTAACTAGATCACACCGAAAGGGTATGATGCCACTTCGTGACAGGTGCAAAGACATATAGTCGAAGGGGACCTCCAACCAGAGAAGTCCGCCGACTTACCATAGAACATTGGACCTGGGTAAATCGATAGAGTCTATAAGGTTATTTACAAATATAGATAGCAAAACTGCAACCTGCATTTTACAAGCAACTTATGAGCAGGTAAAGTTTGTAATGGTGCAGTAGGGTGGAGGCTTGGGGTTGAGCTGTGAAGCATGAGCAAGGAATCGTATACATGGAATCGAGTCATCGAACGTCGAACCTCACCACTGAACCACCACGACTCGATTCCTCGCTTATGCTTCACAGCTCACCACCAAGCCTCCACCCTACTGCACCATTACAAACTTTACCTGCTCATAAGTTGCTTGTGAAATGCAGGTTGCAGTTTTGCTATCTATATTTGTAAATAACCTTATAGACTCTATCGATCTACCCAGGTCTCCATTCAAAGTTCCATGGTAAGTTGGCGGACTTCCCTGGTAAGTTCATGTTCTGATCATCAGTTCTTACCAGCTCTCATTAGCAAGTGCTCATGCAGACCGTCTGACATCCTTCGCGACAGATCGTGAGTTCTCGGACAATTCAAGAACTTCTCATGAAAATACGTAAATGAGTGAGTTCTACATCAAGTGTTCGATGCCTCAACTCATCAGTGATGCACAACACCACCGAGAGCAGAACCTGGTTAGTGTGGGCTGTCTTTCGAGGCTCGTCCTTTCGTTCGCATACTCCGGAAGCACGGTTCCATGTCCGATGCGAGTGATTAATGAACACTACGCTTAGACATCACTGTGAATTGAATTCTCTGAAATTCTTGGAACCACTCATGCACAGAGAACCTTGTCGAAATCAAGGTTTTAGGGTGGCAGGCTATCTTGTGAAGTCCAGCATCCAATCACGCCATTTCTTCAACTTTTCAAATGTTGAACGTCAATTAGTGCTGTGTGATGCGGAAAAAAACGACTGTGCGCCAGGAAGATGACTATTCGTCTCTATCTCAGAAAGGAAGAGCGTTGAGGTAGGCAAACTCAGCTCGTTGATTACAAAAAGTGGTCGCGATTACTGAACTTGAATTAGTTGTATTCATTGAGAAGCTCTTTTAGGCAGTACTAAGTTAAAAATAGAAGTACTGGAACAACATCCTGCGTTTCGAAACACATTTCAAGCGTAATCATACACTACTAAGATACCGGCAGCTCGTTCACAGAGCCTTCGGAAATGTGGAGTTCACATTAGCAATAAGGGCCGAGAAATCAGACTGCAGACATGTCTCCTTCGAATTCAAAAATAAGAACCCATTTGAACTCAATAGATTCGCTTATAACAGGCACGATCAGGGAAAACAACCAACCTTAAATTCATTCGGAAGGAAAACAACCAACCTTAAATTCATTCGGAACTCCAGCAATGATGTCAACCAACTTTGGCTGAGAACTCAAACCGTACTTTTGAGCGATCTGAAACTGGAGTACTATATACAGAACGCTTCAAAACATCTTTATACATCTATCTAACAAAAGATGGGGAATACTATGTTTTTCAAACAATACGCGAGCTCCGCCTGCTCATGTTGCACGGTCCAACTACCAGTGAAAAATTCAGCAAGAGGTATAAGAAATGAAAAATTCAGCAAGAGGTATAAGAAACAGTGAAAGAATGTGCTAACCACGCATTTGAGCCGATTCAAGTTCACATCTTTGTGTTCACGATGTGCTTCCACGAGATGAGCGACTATCTCGTTCACAGTCAATGCCATAGCCTCGCGCTGCGAAAGCTGAGCATTAGAGACGGTCATTTCCCCTAAATGGAGAAAAATCAAGAACTTTTCGGCAGCCCAACGGAACTAGTAGCATTACTGAGCACCAAAGCAACTGATTACTGAACGAAATCAGAGCGCACCAAACGAATTATTGAATGTAGTCTAAACAACCCCAAAAGAAATTGTTCTAAAGAAGAAAAAGTCCTATTGGGCACAAAGTCTTTGACAACCCACAAGTGAAGAAATCATCGGAGACTGGAGGAATATTATAGGGGCTTCATGTTGAAACCTGAAACTCCTTTGAAAAAACGCCCAAGTTCCAGAAGACTGCTGGAGCGAAAGTAATTAGTCTGCGTGTGTGCGTATTACGGCAGTTACTATGACATCACGCGTAAATTTACTGTACGATTGTATACGGTGCTCGTTCTGCAACCTCGGAAAAGCGCAGAAATCTGAACTCTTGAGAAGAAGGATCCCATAAAATCTAGACATATCTCACTATTTTAGAGGATTCTTCGATTTCCTTAAACAGTTGCGCCTGCACCTGACTATTGGCAGTGGTATTCTTACTGTAGGAGCACTCCGCTAATCCTCTTCAGACCAAGCGAAGTCGTCGTGAGGAACATATTCCTAATAGCAGCGAGGCGAACGTTTGTTTAGGAAAGGATGAGCGAGAAGAATTTTTGAAGCTGGCAGTTGAAACTGCTGCACTGAACGGCTACGGAGCTTCTTCGGCCTCCCTTCGGACAGATGACGAGAACGTGGTAGTGATTTACTTGGTGGAGAAGTCTCCTTCATATTGCCCTACGTCTATTGCCGTGGAAAAGTAAGTACTCCCATCAGGAAAACTCAGGCATAGTGGCCATCGTGAATGTCCAACCCAGTAATTTGAATCGTCGCTAGGTATGATATCGACTGTATTACCGTCTATGTATGACCTCAAATTGTGAACTTTGTGTGACTGGCAGAAGGGCGACTACACCATCTCAGAAGCGGTCTACAAGATTACACGTTGCCATTGAGCAATTCATGGAAACATCGCGCAAGATCTGCCTGATGGTTAAAGAACATGTGGAAGGTAAGAGAAGGTCACGTTTGTCTACTGCCTTGGGGTTCCACAGGGCTCACATCCGTGACGGGGACGATTCTGAAGTCGAGCTCAGCTGGCGCGAGAACCGTAAGAGCGCGTTCAGACTTCGCGATCGCGCGATCCGGATCGCGCGATCGCGAAGTCTGAACGCGCTCTAAAGGTCCGTATGGAAAACTCTCGGGTAAGTTCAGGTCTGCAATCCAGAAATGAACGAGAGAAAGGAATGTGTCACAATAACACTACATAAGGGTGACCTTTCAACAGTAACCTTGGACGGGTAGCAGTCCGAAGCGGTCCTAGCGCTGGCTTTGCGGTCTCTATGACCTCCCCCACAAATCCTATCCGCAGCCTCATCGTGGCGTGGGGGTGAACGGTTTTGGACTGTTCCAAAAACCAATGCGGAGGGTGCCACGTCAGAGCCTGGCGAGCTACGCGTGGTTAAACTTCTTATCGCCGAAAACAGTAACAGTTATGGGCCTCATTCCCCTGAACCTGAGGGAACCACCGACAGGGCGACGTCGGCTGGGACCGCTCGGACGAGGCTGCTAAAATCACAGGGCCAATGGAGATTCAAGTCGCCCAGGACTAGGATGACGATCTGTACTTTCAACGCACGGACGCTTGCATCGGAAGCTCACATCGAAGATCTGATGTTGCAAGCCAGGAAGATCACGACGTCATCGGACTGACCGAGACGAGGAGGCATCGCCCGCTACACGCCGTATACGAGACTGGAGAAGAACTGTTCCTCGGAACATGCGACAGCAGAGGCGTTGGCGGTGTGGGCGTCCTCGTCAACACGCACTTGGCCATGAACATCGATTCGTACGAAAATCTGACGACCCGAATCGGACGTTTGCGATTGAGAAGATGTGGTTCAACTCCAGCTTTATCTTCGTCGCCTACGCACCAACATTATACCAAAATGATATGAGTATAGTCGCAATACTCTAGCGCACCACCGAAATCAACCACACAAAGCGCACAAATTCTTTACCTCAAAGCTTGGGTAATTAAACAAGCATTGTAAAAACAGTATACCCTTTGTTGCGAATCGGTGTCCGCCTGTGGGCCACACACAAGGGTCACCGAGGGGTCGGTGAACTAAGTCCTACTCCCGGAGCAGTCCTACGTCCGACCTGGCCAGTATCGTACGACTTAACACACCTAACGACATCTAACTGCTTAGAGACTACTCTCCTCGTAACCCACTCTGTACATCACGATGAAGTAACAAACGGTTATACCATTATACCAGAATACAAAAGAGGACTAATCTATTTATGTCTCTGAAGTATATAGGATCGTGTTCAGTAATTCAACGATAAACAATGGAATAACTGGAGGATAAGATAACACGTTAGAAACATGACTCACGTCGGGCCACCGCTCGTAGCCTGCTAGTCGACCAAGGAAGAATTTGATAGATTCATAGTGGATAGCAGTTCTAAGGGCCGAGGCCCCACGTGTCCGTCGCGAATATGGAATAGTCGGCCAAGAGCAAGCGCTTCCGTAGCCTAGACAGATGAATGAACAACCCGGGAAGGCCCAGTGACCGATGCCCTTTATAGGCGCCGCACTTCGATCGTGCGATCACGGATAGATCATAGTTGGTCATGGCGACGGTTACACGTGAGCACCGGCGCACCCTGAGGGATTTCCCTCGGGAGCGATCCTCGCGATCCGCGACACTCCCGCCCCAAAAGAATCCCTCATTGGGCCTAAGCCTGAGCCCCCCGACTGCAGGCCCGAGCGCACGGTGTGCTGCCAAAACCCGGCTTGACGCCAAAGGAAAAAAGGTAAAAGCCTTGGTCTCGTAGCTCAGGTTAGAGAGAGGGCTCGACTCCCATAATGAGCTAATGCTACTAATAATGGAACTTATTGCACTTATTGAACAAGAAACAAAAGGCACTAATTAGCAACAAAACTAGATAAGTGAACATGGTAACGGATTAGTAACCGAGATAGGCATGGTAAAGCATTCACGGTACAACACGAGGATCTAGTATACCGGCGTAATAATGAGGTTAATAACAGGAGGCAAAGATTATAACTACATGAAATTAGTAATGATAACACAACAGTAACAAATTGGTAGTAACGGAGGATAATGTAGTAGGTTATAATGTGCGTTTTCCACGGTAAATAAGCAGCAATATAATACTTGAAGCAATCGCGTGTGTCGGAGTTCCCAAAGTGAACTATTGTCATAATTGAGTGTCGTAAGAACCGACGTCGGCGTTAAGCTGCAAGTAACATAAAACCTGAAAGTGAACGTAAATGCAGATAACAAACACAGTGGTTTAGAAGAAAGGATAATGTGATATTTTAGAAACTTATGCTTCGGTAATATGACGATTGGCCTTGCAAAATAATAATGGTCGGCAGCCAAGATTGACGCAGCCGGTCGACTGTCCTAAACGAGCATTGAGAAACACATAATCACCTTAACCCTGCTCGCGCGCATGTCGTAATGTCGCACATAATTACGTCGACCACGGTCGTCTTTGGATTAAAAGAGGAATCGAATGAAACTAATAATGATGGTTAGCAAATGACTACCCTCCGGTCCCCCAGTGATGGAGTACCGAGACGTGGACCTAATACGAGTCGTCGCTGACCGTCGGCGAGAATCCCATATCCCTGCTGGCATTCGAGGCGGAGGAATCGCTAGCGAAGGCTTCTCGGCTCTCTCACGTGCCGGCTGCGAGAAGGTCCCGCGCGGTCGGCGTCTTGTGTCCTGTACCTATCTCGGAGAGGTCAGGTGGTGGCACGTAAATGTGGTAGCTGAGCATCTCGTAAAGATCGTCCGGCGGCATATTGCCCAGATCGTTGATGGCGAATGGATTGAAGACGCAGAACGATCTGTGGTGCCCTTCCTCCTCGCACAAATTGCAAGGGTCTCTGCGGAGGCACGAGGCCCAGTGAACCTTGAGCGCAGTTGCTGCAAATTCCTTCTTTTGCTATGTTAGGCCGGGTAGAAAAGAGGGTAGGCCATCGGCATCCGATGAGTAATAGGCCCATCTGCCTGCAGAGGTGACTAGATTCCACTTCCATGTCTGCTCCGAAGGCACTTCCGCCGCTACAGGGAACCTGGAGCAAGAGCGGTAAGCGGGAGCTTGGCGTGGTGCCTGTCTCCCGTGAGAGCCATAACTAGGGACCTGACGCGGTGGACTGCGTGCGTAACTCGTTCCGTAGAGCCGCGACTAGGGCGAGTACGACGTGTGGACTACGTGGTGTGTTCGTCTCCCGCTAGGCCACGACTAGGCGACGCGGCCGCGCGGAGGGCTACGCTGAATAGTGCTTCGTCCTCTATAAGCGGCTCGCGACTAGGGAACGACGGTTTGGACTACGGCGGACTGTCGCTGGTGTGCTGCGACAACCTCATGTGCGCGCATGCTGGCTTAGAAGGGTACGCTTTCGCATTCGTCTGCTCTCAATTGTGTTCGGGTGGATTCGAGGAGTGTAAGGACCGTCGTCAGCAGCCTCCGGCGAGCGAACATTGATTGCTTAGAGGAAAACTTTGGAATAGTTATCGTTGTCGCGGGTCGTTGCGACGACTGCTCTGGGGCAGTTGGAGGATACCCGCGAGCGTGTTCCTGTTGTATCCTATCGAAGCGACCTCAAGATCTGTTCTTCTTATTAGCAACGCGTCGGAGTAGTTCTCGCGCCACCAGCGTAAAGTCTGGATGTACGAACTAGGTTCGTCCGACCACGGAGGGGGATTGTAGAACGCCGACTGGAATCTATATTGTTCGTCTTCAGCTGTGACGCGAACCGTTTTACGGTTCATGATGTGGACCATTTGGTGGGCTTCCATCACTCTGATCATGCGTGTGGCATGAGCTGTGACGGCTGAGCAATGTTGGAGTATTTCCATGACTTTTTGCTCAGTTAAGCCGACCAGCTGAAGGGTGGCTCTAAAGTAGTCCGTGTCGTCGTCCCACTTAAATAGACGGGGGATAAGTAGTTCCTGGAGTAGATCTCGGTTGACTGAAATGGAAGTAATACTATGAGTCAATTCGTGGATCCAGCCCATTAGATGGGTGTATCTGATGTCGAGGGGCTGGCGTCTTACTAGTAGGAACAGCAAGATTATGAAATGACTCAGTAGTATATTGGACTATTTCAAGCAATGTTTTTAATATATGGACTACCTGGGAGACTGCATCGAAGTCTGACGGGATCGTGATGTTCCTGATGTAGTCTCTCAGGACGTTGTTAGTTGTGATGTAGTCGAACACAGTGCGGAATTGACGTGCTGTCAGTTCCTCAACTGTGTACGGCTCCGCATTGAATGAACTATAGGGGGCTACGTATGGGTTTCCTGCAATCGAAACAGCCGTTGGATTCGTCCTGAGGGGCGCGTTTCGTCGTCTTGGTTCCGGCTCGTCTTGAAAATTCTTGAAGGAATTCCGCCACCTGATTCATTCTTTCTTGCCTTCTTTCTGGCGCCTTTTCCTTTTGCTTCCTTTTCTGTCTTTTTGTCGGTAATTTTTTGGTTTTCTTTTTGCGCAAGACTGAGTATGAGCCTTCCTCTGGTGTTGTTGTCCCTGCGGGTTCCCAGTCATCTGGATCTTCTTATGTAGACCCAGAAGAGGACTAATCTATTTATGTCTCTGAAGTATATAGGATCGTGTTAGTAACTCAACGATAAACAATGGAATAACTGGAGGATAAGATAACACGTTAGAAACATAACTCACGTCGGGCCACCGCTCGTAGCCTGCTAGTCGACCAAGGAAGGATTTGATAGATTCATATTGAATAGCAGTTCTAAGGGCCGAGGCCCCACGTGTCCGTCGCCGAATATGGAATAGTCGTAAGACAACCGCTTCGTAGCTAGACAGATGATGAACTAACCCGGGAGGCCGTGATGGTGCCCTTTTATAGGCGCCGCACTTCGATCGTGCGATCACGGATAGATCATAGTTGGTCATGGCGACGGTTACACGTGAGCACCGGCGCACCCTGAGGGATTTCCCTCGGGAGCGATCCTCGCGATCCGCGACACCCTTAATCAGCCAGATACAGTACTCAAATGTAAAGCACCAATCGCAAGATATGAGATGAGAAAATGAAAAGGCAAAATGATGTCAAGGCATGGAATGAGCAAGATCAGCAGTGCGCGTTCCTTTATTCAGGCCCCGCCATCTGGACAGCTTTTTGTCCCCCCTAGAGGAATTCACACGTGACCCGGGCGCGCTTGATTTTCTACAAAGGAATGCGCACAAGACCACAAGGATACTGTGTATGTAACTTCAAAGTAAAATCGCGTGAAGTCGCGATACTCCCCGGCGCCTCTCAGCGCTGGTCCCAGAACAGGCGCAATTCCCTTTGCCAATAGTTCAACGTGTCCAGGGCCTCCCACCGCGCTTCACTCGCCTCACCGATTCTCCTTCGGATTTCGTCGCTTCTCTCCGGCAGATCGCAGAGGGCGGAGTGGTGGCCGACCTTCTGACAGTGGAAACATAGCGTCAAATATTTAGGGCAGTGCTCGTCCTGGGTGCAACGTTCTTCCAAGCAGTACCGACATTTGTCCTGCGCTAGAATCATCTCCCTGCGGTCGATCACGGCTGTGACCACTGCACATGGCTCTGCAGAACGCACAGCGCATGTATCGCTCTTGATGACGATTTATTCTTCCACGATCCGCTCTTCTTGGAGGGCACACCTTTTCATGCGCGAGCTGTCTTAGTATGTCATCCAAGTTGAAGAGGGCCTGCTGCGCGCTTCTGATTTCATTCTCGATTCTGCGCAATCGGACCTCGGGGGCTCCACAGCCTCGGGCTCTTCTTCTTCCGGCTCTTCGGCGCCAAGTTGCACGTTATTGTCGGCTACGTGCCTTTCCTCCTGAGCTGGTGGGCTTCCCTGCCTATCACCGTCATCTTCCTCGCCGGACTCCTCATCCTCCGCTAGTTCTGGTGGAGGGACTTCTTCTTCTTCGGGGTCCATTTGCGCATCTTCCTCTTCCTTGATCCCCTCAGCGAACTCAGAGTTCTCTTTTATAATGCGCAGCTCCCTATGCTCGAGGCCTTCGGGGCTCTCCGCCCGCGAGCTGTCTCGCTGCTCAGAGATCTTATGGAGAACTTCTTCTCGAGTATCGATCACGATTTGCTGCAGACGTTCTATTGCGGCGCGGATTTCCTTTTCGAAGACGGTCTCGTTTTCTAGCTCTTCCGTCAGGAAATTCCTGTAGAGATCATGGATAACTGTCCTGATGGAGGCTATGTTTTGCAGCTGGTCGCTCGCGAGCTTCTCGATCGTCTCCAGCTTTACCGGAAGGGTCTTCCCATCGTTTCCTTTATGGGGAACGGTGGGAAGACCCTTCCGTGGGAAGATTGATGAGGAGGTCCCATTCCTGGTCGCTCATCCGGTCCGTTGCGACGAGTAGTGGAGGCACAGCATAAAGGGTTCGCAACTGGGATCTCACGTGGACAAACCTCGCACGCAAATAATCAGCATATAAATCAAGGTATTGCGCTTCGTGCTTCCTATCAGAGAGAGATGCCTGTAAGGAACGAAGAGCTTTCAAGCGCGTCTCTAGTGTATCAACAGCAGAGATACAATCACGTAGTTCAAGAGCATGCCGAAAGATCGCTTCATGAAGATCTTCTTTACTCGGGAGAGGCGGCAGTGCTTCTAGGAGATCGCGCAGCTGTTCTTCTAGTGTACGTTCATTGTGCATGGGTTCCATGTTCTGCAATAGTAGTCATAGTACATCGAACATGTGATAAATGTGATCGCATAAAAAAATATATGTAGTGCTTCAAGGGTATGTAAGTTTAATTATTGCCTATAGATATGTGTATTTTTGATGGTACGGACTCTAATGATAACAATGTTTCTAAAATGATTTTACTTTGCTGGGAAAGCGTTCTCACAGCTTAACTTAAGCAGTCTTTTTCTGCGTTTCTGGCCCTTTCGCCGGCCGACATTTATATTATGGAGTAGAAAGCGTAAGGTGCGCACTGGTAGGGTGAGAATCGCCCCGAACACGCTCAAGGTGGCATTGAGCAGGCGCAGTCCCATAGTATTGACTAAGATGTAGGTTATACCCAGAAACACTACTACTGCTAATGATGTTATAAGGAGGATCTTGTACCAGCCAAATATAATGTCCTTAATGTGACCGAAATCTGGCCATTGAAAGTCGTTGTACACAGTAGTGTTGCCTTCCAGCAAAGAATATGTAGGATAATTGAAATAACTAACGTATTTCAAAACTCCACTCACCCTAAAGGTGTTCTTTACCTGGCCACATGTTATTGTGCATTCAAAAAGGTGGCGTGCTGAGTCCAAGTGGAAGTGTAGAGTTGTTTCAGGTCCTTCGGGGGCGCACGATACCACAAACGAATGATGCGCACAAAGAATTTCTCCAAAGGTGTCTTCTTCAGCAATGCAGCGCACAATTGCCACTGCGCCTTTTGGACAGTTATAGCACCCTTTTAATGGGGCATCCGCCACGATACAATTATGATTACTGATTTCTAAATGCGCGGCATCCATATTGGTGTGGAAGTTGATCACGATTTCCGAAGAAACCATTTGGGGTATTTTTGCTGTTAGCGGGGCTTCTTTTGGTTTGGATAATTCCCAGTAAGCAGTTTTAATGGGTAATTTTTGCTGAATCTGATCAAATTCTTTGGCAATGTCGGGATCCTCGCATTCGCATATTACCTTAAATTCCGCGGGAGTGCAGACGCAGTTTTCCTTGAAGGTGCAGTTCAGCGCTTCCGCGTCCATTCGCGACGCACACTTAAGAGTCGGGGTTAGACTCTGGGTCAGAATGGCGGTATCGACTCCATCGGTGACAAATTCGCTATTTAGCTTTGGTATGGGAGGAAGTGTTAGCAATGTCATAGTCATGCGCAAGAAGGGAAGATCCAAGGGGACGTTGGGATAGGCTTCAAGAAGATAATGCGACGAGTTCTTTGTAGGAACCTCGTCGAATATTACTTCTAGCTGTGCCGCTTCTGTCCAGCGCATGCAGCGGAACACTTCAAAGACCTTTGGGTTACGTGGTCTGGCGAATATCCTATAGAAGAGGCAACCTGAACTCAGGTAAAAGCAGTCACACCCGAATCCCCCACAAGACTCAAAGCATCTGGTCTTGCCCGGGTAAAGATTGCCTTCTGCTAGTTCAGGTAAAAGTGATGAGGTGTTTATACCTGCGCACTTCTGTTCTGTGCATGATCCCATAGTGGGGCATCTTTTGCTGTCAACGACTTCCAGACTGGTCGAACGTGTAAAGTACAAAGTTTCTTGCTCGCATCTCAGGTGTAGGTCTTTCCAA